GGAGTTGATCTACTCTGGTTATTCACGTTACCAGTTTTTCCGCTGATTCCACCCCATTCTGAGTTTACCCTGTTTGGAGACCTTATCAGAACCGTTGAGTCAGTGGCTTCTTTTGGATGCCTAGAAAGGCAGGGCGTGTCTGTCGTCTTCTCCCAGTTCTTAGGCGCTGGGGCAATGAGGATGCAGCGGAATGCAGCAGCTGCACAGGAGTATGCGTAGCCAGATCAGACCTTTTTCGGTTTGCTAGGTCGCTCGGGGGCAGGAGACCAGCAGCGGCTGGATCAGTCCTAGTTTGGCTCCAGTGGGGTGACGGGGGGTGGGGGCAAGGGAACAGCAGCGGCTGGATAAAACTGCGTTCAGTTCCGCCGGTGTGGCCAGTGGGGCAGGAGAATGGCAGAGGCCGGATCAGTCCTAGTTCGGCCCCACCAGAGGGCAGGGGAACGGCAGCAGCCAGATCAGGGCAGGAGACCAGCAGCGGCTGGATCCGTCCTAGTTTGGCCCCACTGTGCAATTGGGGGGAAGGGGAAAGGCAGCGGCCAGATCAGTCCTTGGTTAGCCCCACTGGGGCTACTAGGGGGCAGGGGAATAGCAGCGGTTGTGCGGGTAACGCGCACAGCCAGGTCAGTCCTAGTTTGGCCCCGCCAGGGCAACCGGGGAACAGGGAAACTGCTGCGGCTAGATCAGTCCTAGTTCAGCCTCGCCAGGGCGCGGGGGATCAGCAGCAGTGGTGCATGGCACAATGGCAACCAGATCAGTCCTAGTTCGTCAGTCTGGGGAAACCGTGGGGCAGGGAAACAGCAGCAGCTGGATCAGTCCTAGTTACCCACAGTGGCAGGGGAATGGGGAGCAGAGGACTCCTCTGCTGCCACCGCTAGAGCAGCATTAGCTAGCTGATCTGGTCCCTCCTGGGCATGGAGCCCAAAGTGGGGCCCTGCCGCTGCCCACAGGGCGCACATGGCTCTAGCAAACAATTCTAGGCCCACCTGGGACATGGAACAGGGATCACCTCTACTGCCCATGGGGCATGCGTGGCTTTAGCAAGTAGTTCTGTGACTGCCCAGACCTGGGGGCTCCTCTGCGGCCACCTGCCGCCTACAGGAGGCATGCCGCTCTAGCAAACAGTTCTGTGGCCCG